TTGAACCCTGGCAGGACTACGCAAGGGTCTGGTTGAACAATGGCAGGCGGCAGTGTCGCCAACGGAGAAGTCCCGAGGCAGCAGTGTATGTTATAACTGTACGAACCAACATCCCCGAACCCTGAACCTTAACAATCCACAACTGTGTGGCCTTCTCGATTCGTTGCAGCTGAGGTTTCAATTCTTGAAGGCATATCTTCTCGACCGGGACATGCCCTCCATCGAGATTCAGCCGTACTTCGAGGAGCCACTGGTCTGGTCCTATAGAATCTTAACCTCAAAGCTTTAACTTACAAACCCTATAAACCCTGCGACCCTAAACTCTCTCTCTCTCTCTCTCTCTCAAACCCTAAACCCTGAACCCCTTAACTCACAAAGCCTTCGACTACTTGAGCTCAGGCTCAGTGAGGCCAAAGACACAGAACACTTCGTCGAGCTCCCTCTCTGCGAGATTATCGAGAAATACAACCACTTACCTGGCGGCCCTGAGTATATCAAGTCGATCCAACAAAGTGGAACCCTGAGATTATAAGTCACACTCTCTTTCTCTCTCTCTCTCTCTCTCTCTCTCTCTCTCTCTCTCTCTCTCTCTCTCTCTCTCTCTCTCTCTCTCTCTCTCTCTCTCTCTTTTCTTGTTCCTGCTCAAAGTAGTAACATACACCTCCTTTCTGACCCAGCGAAGGTCAGGTGGGAAAACCCCACCCCCAGTTCTCAGATGACCTTTGGAAATTGTACAAGGTCTATAAGTGCACGGACCACCTGAGAATCCCGGCTGCAGTTCCGTTGCATATCTCGGTAGCTGTGTGATGTTGTTGTCCTCCATGCAATCCAAGGTTCGAACATCTCCAGAGTGGGTTCCAAAACGCGGGCCAAGGTCCAGCCTTCGCAGAACCGACAGGAGCGGCAAGCTCTCGCAGACACGCTAGAGAAGAAGATCGCCGGGATGAAGACTGGCATGGCCGAGTCAAAGAAAGCAGGGAACAAAGCCAAGTCGAAGAAGGATCGAGATGTGTGTGCGATTGCAACAAAAGAGTCTAGCTAAGCCTAAACCCGAAACCCTAAACCCTAAGCCCTGAACACTCCTACTTCCCCAGGAACTGACAGCCGACGAGAAACTGAAGAAGGATTTCCAAAAGGATCACCTGGGGCATCTTGCCTGAATCTATTTGTAGTAGAAACATTTAATGGGCTATAGGTTAATCGTTTGCAGCCGAGGATTCGCAATATGGCCGACAAAGCTGTGCACATCGCATCGGAGATCAGCTCCTGTGGGATTCTCCACCAAGAGGCACACCCTAAACCCGAAACCCAAAACATTAAAAAACCTTAAGCCTGAACCCTGAACCCTTAACCCTGAACCCTTAGCCCTGCACAGAAAATGGTGGAAAGCTTGGGGAAAGTCAACACGAAGTGCACCAAGATCTACAATGAGTGGCTCGGCATGCATGCAGCTGCAACATGTCACGTTCCAAAACCACAAGCCTTATAAATCCTCATCGATGCTGAACCCATTTGTAAACCCTGAACCCGACCCAAGCTACATCCCAGGATTCAGCAGATGGTGTTCTCGTGCAAGCCGGTGAACGAATGCTATATAATACTCGATGGATACAAAGTGGAGCTGGAGGCTGCCTCGATCTCTCCATCTGAAATTCAGCACTAGAAACACCCGAAGTACCAGCCTTATAAATCTCGTCCAGGAATGCCAGAAGAAGATCACCAACGGCGAGGACATTGTGGATTCGCACAAGAGACGTACCTCGGCTTGATGCCCTGAAAACTGAATTCCTGAACCCTAAACCCTAAAACCCTAAACCCTACCCCTGAAACCTCAACCTTAACCTGCCCTCGCAGGCCTGGCTACGGAAAAGAGAAAAAGGGAAAAAGAAGAGAGGAAAGAAAAGCAAAAGCATGATGATGACGACAATGATGGATATGATGCAGATGAAGGAAATGAAAGTGCCGCCGCCGCAGAGGAAGAATGGCCGGAGGAGGATCCTGAACCGCCTGCAAAACGCAGGTAAATGAGTGGCTGGATGCAAGCATAGGGGCCAGGGGAGCAGCAGTGTTGGAGTGCATGTGTATTGTATATACACTTTTGTACACGCAGGCTGCTTTCAAACTTCACGCATGCTTTCTGGGCAAAGCACTCGACACTGGCTGCACGTGGTCATGCCAAGGGCATGGCAACTGTGTTTTGCTTCTGCAGAACTTTCTTCTGAACTGATGAGAAAACATGCAATCCTGAACAAGTTGCCTTCGAGTTCGATTCATCACGCCGCATACCAGAATCGCAGCGATGATTGAATGCCGTTCCTCAGCTTGATCAGCTGGTCTGTGGTGCCTATACTTCATCCATACCCAGTGGCTTCGGAGCCCTAAGTTTAAATTCTAAAAATATGTGTCAAAAGAATCAAAAGGTACAGGGTTTAGGGTTGCAAGGGTTTAGGGGTTCGTAAGGTGTCGGTGTATACAACCCAATATAACTGGTGCCGTAGACTTTATGTCGACAGGAACCCTAGAACACAAACTGTCAGAGGTTATCAGGCTTATAGGGTTTAGGTTTCTAGGGTTTAGGGGTCCAAGCTTCCAGGCAAACCTCAGGCACAACCGCAGTTGTTGCTTCCACATGGTCTGTTCCATAAACCTTTGATGTGAAGCCTTCGCCGCGATCATGATTCGATGCTGGCCGGATGATATGCTGTTCATACATGTCCGAGACTAGACCTTTGCTTGATTACATGTTTAGTTTTTTGTAGTGTTCTTCGGTAGTAACAATCGTAAACCCTATAAACCACCAAACCATGTCAGTGCTTATCAGTGCTCCAGAGAACAGCCAAGGATCGAGACCTCGCGATCATATGATATGTCGCCGAGCCCCTCTCACGAAGCATTCGAATCTTGTGTTTTCTTGGTTAGTGAAGTGCATCCGAGAACAGCCCAGGAAAGAAGGATTCAAGATGTCAACCTCGGAGTCGATCGGCTCCGATGCTATTCACCGCTATGTCCAAGAGACAACTCAACAGAATTTGAGGCTTCTATCTCAGGGACAGGCCAGGTTGCCAACTGAATTGAGGGTGCAATTGTTTAGACCACGATGGAAACCAACTAACCCTGAAGGTGCCTTTGTCTGAGCTGGCCGTCTCTCTGGAGCGACTCTACAATCTACCTCATGCTCTGTTGAGGTGTCAGTGCTGCATTGCAAACGGGGGGATGTGATTCGATCCATAAAGCATTGATTCATCTACCCCGGAGGAAAGACTTGTTGGACCTGGCTACTGCATTCCGTTCACAGACATCTGGCGGCTCATGGGGCCATATGAGATTGCTCGAGAGGTGGGTGGACCGACAACCATGGCGACATGCACTTCCACCATCCTTCAGGTTTCCAAACTGCAGCATTATCAGAGAATTTGTCGGTCTGTTGAATCCTGTGAGGCTGGTTTGGAATATTGCAACCCAACAGAAATGTAGTTTCCATCCGAGGTTCGAGCTCACCGCAGTGTACGATGATGCACACGGCCCTCGAACGAGGGCTGTGAATCATCATATGATGCTGCCGCATGAAATTGTTGGATTCCTGCACGCATCGGGAAACTCACACCAGCTGTACGAATCTCTGGAACAAGCTGCTTGGTTCTGGCATGTTACTCGTGTTGCCTTTAAAATTGGGAACACTGATGTGTTTGCTTCTGTTGGCAATCCAAGGTTCGAGAATACTGGTCAGAGCAGCCGGACCAAAAGTGGGTCCAAGAAAACGCTGCACAGCTGCATCTTGAGTATGTATGCATCGAACAAGTGTAGAATTCAGGACGATGTTGTAGCTTAGGTTTGGGATCCGGAGCAATGTGTTCCGCTGCGAATCTACGGCGATGGTGCCGAGTTCACGAGTAGCACAGTTGCAAACAAATTGGAATACTTTTTAGTCCTAAGACCGGCGGTATGTGCAATGCTGCCCGAAGCTAAGAAAAGCAGAAGTTCGAGATGTTCTTGTATTGGCACCGCTGGCCGCGAATTCTTCGAGCACGACAAATGGCAGATTCTTGCAGCCCGGCAGAAACTGCCACAATCTATACATGTATAACATGAGCTAGTGGCGATATGCATTTTTACATGCTGGCGACCCGCCTTGGACTGCAGGCTGTCATGCATCAACATGTGCTACCACAACGACGCCTCTCGCCGGAAAATTCTTGATGTGATCTGTTGGTCCATGAAGGCACTGAGCAGCTTTGGCAGCACTATATAAAGACAACGATATATGTCGGAAAGCATGTATGTCGCATGCAAAGAACATAAACACATGTTCCGATGCAAGGTGATGGAGTATATCCATGGTCTGACCCATGGGGATGTGAGTTCTCCAACACGTACGAGCCTGCCCGATACCGTTGGGCAGGCCAACCATTGGCGAGCCATGGAGCATCATTTGGAGTGTTCGACGGCATACAGGCGGACCTCGAATTCATCAAGAAAATTTTGTTTCTGCAACGCAGCTCGATCGCATTTCCTTGTGGATCTATCGTACACATGTTACTGTATGCATACCGGCAAATAATCCAAGGTGATTATACGAGAAAACAATGTTGTTTTCTCTGTGGTGCTTCACAATGGGTTTATCGCCATGGTGATCCCGAGGACTGCCTAATGATCCGAGCCTCCTCTACAGCAACTTCGGTGAGGAGGCAGCACATCGGCAGACGTTTCTCGCTACGATTTAGCATCCATTGCCACACCGATTATGCGAAAGCCTAAACCCTAAATCCGAAACCCCATATATAAACCTGCAAAACCTTCAATAATCAACCGTAGTCAGTATAGGTTGGTGCGAGATGCTGCGGAATTCCAGCAGATTCTGCGAGCCCCCTCACCCAGATACCAGCATTCACGCCGTGGCGAAGCTTGGACAAGAATTTCAGAATCATTTTACAGGGTCCAGGGTTTACAATAAAGTTTTCAAGCCTACATATACACCTGGTCCAGGTGTATGGCCGGACATAATGCACCTTTTACATTTAGCCATTGTGCCGGATGTCTTGGGCTCCTTGCTGTGCGACCTCAGCGATTTGGCACCGAAAAGGGAAGCCGAGCTGCAAGCTCTGTACGAGAGCTATCGCTCCTGGTGCGAGGAAACCGGAGTGCCGGACCGTGCTGCAAAGAGGCTCTTCAGCAGTGCAACTCTTCACCCGAACTCGAAAGATTATCTGAGTATTTCCCAGAAGCTTTTATCGGGCACGGCCGCACGGTACAGTCTATTCTGGATGGCTCAGCTTCTTACCCACTTGATGAAATGCCATCCGGGAAACGAGTTCTATGCGATCCTCGGCTATATATTGCGGGTTTTCCGAAACATACATCTGCTTCTTATAAGGGTTTAGGGTATAGGGTTTAGACCCTATAGCTCGAATTGCAACGGAGAGCATCCAAATCCAAGGCTCCGAGGTGGGGTCTGTATAGCCCTTGCTACCATGGAAAGCATCTTCCTTCGATCTGGCCGAATTCTTACAGAGGATGCGAGCCGCGACCTTCGAAGAGCCTACATTACTTACAGATCTGGGTACAACAAGCTGGCTGAATGGTCTCTTTCGAAATCACTTTGCCGATGGCCTCTACGACCCAAAAATCATTACGTCGAGCACATGGTGCTCGACACATCGCCGCAGAACGGGAGGTATATGCACAATTATCTCCAAGAAGACCATATCAGAAGGATTAAAAACCTGGCTTCGAAAAGCCATCCTGCTTTTCTGGCGAAACACGTCATGCTTAAATGGGCGATGCAGATGACCATGAGCTGGGCGGACCTCGCGGAGTAGAAAAAATCAGTCCGATCGAGGGGTGGAAGCCCCAGCTGCAGCCGAAGCACCCTACAACCCTTGACCTTAAACCGTGACGGTAGTAACAGCAGCAACGAGACCTTCTGAAGCCGTGCCTCCCTGCAGAGCGAGTGTGCGAGTCGAAACCCTTTAAAACACGAACAGCTCGAAGCCCGAGAAACCGGTGTCGTCGTCGTCGTCGTTGGTGTGTTTGTGTGTGTGTGTTAACACTATATATATGTGTATATATATATATATATACACATTGCATATATGTGCGGCATGGCCATGTTTCATGTTTCATTTTTTTTGGCTCCTGGTTTGCCTGCATGGGCACTTTCGAGATCGCTCTGTCGCTCTTGAACCACTATGTGGTGGGTTCTGGACACATCCCGCTGGGGAATATCATTGGTAGCGGAAATTCTCAACAGAGACTGATACAGGTGCTGCATTTTCGAACTGATATATGCATGCCCCGCAACAAGTGTGGACCCGGTTCCACCAGTTTTCTGTTGTTTTGCGATCCGGATCGAAACTTTTCACGCGGATGTAAACAGCTTTCAGAGAATTCCGGCGCTGATCCTACTGAAGGTCAAAATTTTCATGGCAGTATACTCAGGTAAAAATGGACCAAATAAGATACGTTGGGCTCAATGACTCTTGTTTGCTGAATGCCTTTTAATTAGGATACGTTGGGCCCGTGCTGGTAAGCTGCCCTCACCCCCTTGATGCTGCCAGACCGCTGTCCAAACACTTCCTGGATGCCCTCGAAGCTGTGATGACGACACCCCCTAAGGTCTTAGAGCTCAAAAGGAAGTTGGCGATTGCTAAGGCTGAAATTCTTGTCAAGAAGCTCAGCTGCTCTGAGAAGGCCAGGCACCAGGCCCTGCCGGATCATATGAAGAAAGTGCTTGCAAGCAAGAACCTTTCGCTCTTCGAGGCACTCCTCAAGGAGCATGCGTACTGGGATATGGGGGTAGTCCAGCTCATGGAAAAGGGTGTTGACCTCGTTGGGTTTCAGGACACCCCTCCTTGCTATCCGTAAAAGATTGTTCCTGCCATGTCGAGGGACGAGTTCCTTGACTCCGCCGACTGGAGGCGGCGGGCTCTCACAACGCCCGGCACCAGGGCTCCGGATGCAGCTCAGCTTGCCCACCTTGAGCAGGCGTGCCAGGAAGAGGTAGACCTGGGGTTCAAGGACCCTACTCGGAAGATCAAGTGTCCCAGCTGTTCGGCCATTCCCGTTGGTCGTGCATCCGGAGGTTTGTCTTGGAGCAAAAGCCAGGGAAGCTTCGGCCCATTGATGATGCAAAGGAAGCGCTTGTGAACAGCGCCAGTACCTCGACAATGCGACTCGAACTTGAGGACGCCGACTACCTGTCTGCCATGGCCCCCGAGGTCGCGCGACGCATCCTGGCCGACCCTTCCAAACCAGGGGCCGTGCCTTGGGTCGCCAGGTGCCTCGACCTAACGAAGGCCTACAAACAGATGTGTGTTTCCGAGCGCGACCTGCAGGTCTCGGTGGTTTTCTTTCTTGATGAACAAGGTAAGCCTAGGTACTACGTGAGCCATTCGCTGTTATTCGGGTGCACATCGTCGGTATTTGCATTCAACAGGGTGTCAAAAGCAATCTCCTTTCTGTTGAACCAATTGTTGCTTGTGCCAAGCTCCGTGTTCTACGACGACTTCCCTCTTCTGTCACCGAGCCCCACAAGTGACAGCGCCACGTGGGCCACAACCGCTCTGCTTGACCTTCTGGGCTGGGGTCATGCCCGCGTGGGCAAAGACACTAAAGGAGTTCCCTTTGCGGCAAGCTTCGAGGTCCTTGGGATGTCGATGCAACTTGACGGTGTTCACCGGGGACGCCTGACCCTTCAGAACAAAGCAGGACGTATTGAGCAGCTTGTGTCTTTGTTTCAGGGATTTCTTGACAGGGGTGCAATCACGGTGCATGAGGCGCAAGTTGCCCATGGGCTCTTGAACTTCTCTGCTGGTTATGTGAATGGTCGGGCCTTGCGCTTGACTTGCCAGGAGCTCCTTCGCTTGACAAAAGCATCGTGCCCCGCTTCTCCGAAGGCGACCCGCAGCTTCTGCGTAAACAGCATTGAGGCCCTCCGGGCGCTAAGCCCCCGTGTGCTCAGTGTGTGGGACAGCCGGGCTCCCATACACATCTTCACGGATGGTGCGTGGGAGCGGGGCCGAGCAGGCATTGGTGCCGTCATCTTTGATACAGCTTCGGGCAAGTCGTGGACTTATGAGGGTCTGGTCCCAGAGCCACTCATCCTCCGATGGGAGGCAGATGTCGGGACTCAGCTTATTTGCCAGATCGAGCTGTACGCTGTTGTATGCCTCAGATGGGCCCTGGCCTCCACCTTTGGTCACAGACGCTTGATTTGGTGGATTGACAACGAATCGGCTCGCTATGGCTTGATCAAGGGCATCTCGGACAGTCCCTCGATGTCATCCTTGATTCAGGCCTTTGCACTGGCGGATTCTAAGGCACCTTCGTATAGCTGGTACGAAAGGGTCCCATCTTTTTCTAACATCGCGGATGGACCAAGCAGAGGTGATTCAGCAGAGGCCTTGACCGTCTGCACCAACAAGGTGGGAATCGATTACCCTCTTGGCGAAAACCTCATCCGGAGGCTTCTGTCAGCTTGATGCCCTGTCTGGGAGCTCGCGCACTCGGGGCACCTAGCCAATCGTCGGGGGGATATTGTGCCCCGTAGATCTCGTAGGCCTTGTGCCGAGGTCGGGGCAAACCGGTATCGTTTCACGAATTCCCCCGATCGGCTTCGCAGCCAAAAAGTGTCCGAGCGAGAGCGACTGCACTTCACATGTCCGTTGGAACATATGCCGTGATCTGCGAAATTTCTATTTTTATATTGCGATTGGAGTCGAAGCTTATCCGTTTCGAACATATCCTTGAGAGCAGTGCCTCCCATTTGAGATAACCCAGTTTTGTTTTGAGTTGCCCCAGTTTTGTATAATTAGAAGAACCGCTCCGACTTGTCGGTAGCGCTTTCTAAGTAGACAAAACTGTAGGCTCGCGTAGCGAGCCGGGGCGACTCTAGTAACGTGTACAGTCCTGCTGTTTGTTATCGTTTCACCCCAAGCAAACCTTTCTTTTACATGTTGATTTCCACGGTGAGTCTTTCAGTCTTTCATGAATGATTTTTGGCGTTTTTCGGCATGCGGGATCCACCATGTGACTTGATCTCATTCAGCATTGCCGCGCTCGCCCTCTCAAGCAACAGACGGGCGGGGCCCATCATTCATGAAATTTTTGCGCCCACCCACCCTCCCTTGGGGGGGGGATATTGTGCCCCGTAGATCTCGTAGGCCTTGTGCCGAGGTCGGGGCAAACCGGTATCGTTTCACGAATTCCCCCGATCGGCTTCGCAGCCAGAAAGTGTCCGAGCGAGAGCGACTGCACTTCACATGTCCGTTGGAACAGAGGCCGTGATCTGCGAAATTTCTATTTTTATATTGCGATTGGAGTCGAAGCTTATCCGTTTCGAACATATCCTTGAGAGCAGTGCCTCCCATTTGAGATAATCCAGTTTTGTTTTGAGTTGCCCCAGTTTTGTATAATTAGAAGGTATTACCATGTCTCAAGTCCTCTCGTTCGCCGCTTGTGGTTGGAGTTTCGGGAGTGCAGGCTTGGAGCTCTTTCAGCAGCCTTACACAACATCTCAAGAAGAGTAACAAGCGTGACGAGCTCTGTGTTGTGGTCTCCGTCTGCTGCTGCGCGGTAATTGCAAGGGTGACAATTGTGGTTGGAGTGGAGTTTTCGGGAGTGCAGGTGTGGAGCTTTAGAGCCCCAGGCCGCCACTCGTAAAGGGCGACCATTCTGTCTTGGAGTTTGGGGAGCGACGGAGTGGTGATCTTTCGCCGCCGAAAGATCACCACGCCGTCGCTCCCCTAAGCCCTAATCCCGAAGCTGAGCGGATAGTATAACCGCAATGTTCAAGGGTTACGACGTTCGTAGCCATTGGCCATTGCGGTTAACTCTGCAATCCAATGGATGGTAGATTTTGCTTTTGCGGCTCTACTGTCTGTCAAATGGATATTACCTGGTCATGTTGGAGCTCCTTCTGTACCGGGGAGATTGTGTCGAAGAGGTTGCAATGAACCCTGTGGCCCGTGGCCGGCTTTTGCTAGAAACGACAGTGGAGCATGTCTGCCGGGGAGACGCAGCCAGCTCGAGCGAGGTCATTTGAAGAGCCGCTTACGGATGTTCTTGGCAACGGGTAAAGGTACATTCTTCTGATCTTTCTGGGCCTGGTTCTCGTGCTTGTCGGTTACCGATACGCACGAGAAGCAGGTCCAGAAAGATCAGAAGAATTACTTTTACCTGTTAAGATCAGCGCAAACCATGGAGAGAAAAATGAGAGAGGTGTGCGGCTGCGGCGGTGCCCCGCAAGCCGGGTCGCCATTCGCCTCTGCCCCGGAGCCGGGCCCCCTTACGGGACGGGGCCGCTCCCGGGTACGGGCGGGTGGCCACCCGGTTAGCGGGGCCGCGTCCAAGCCGCACACCTCTCTCTCTGTTTCACCCAGTTTCACCCGGTGAAGCTGGGTGAAACAGTCTCTCCCATGGTTTGCGCTGATCTTAACGCAGGCTGGCGCGACGGACGGGAGATGGGTCGGCCTTCTCAATTTGATGCCATGCAGTGATCGAAGAGCTCTTTGCTTCGTCGTATTGGAAATATATAGTTGTAGTGGTCATGGGCTTGTTGGCGCTTCAAGCTGGCTGCTACGGACTCCTGTTGGGTGAGTTGCCGCCTGCATGTCAGGAGGCCTCGACCCCGGCATAACGTGTCCATGTCACGAGGTCTCGACCCCGTCATAATGTTTACAAGACGTGTTGGACATGCTTCCATGCTTTCGAGTTTCCTCATGTGTGATCGATCACAAGAGATTTGGTGCCGTTGACGCTGTCCACGCGTCAGTTTACTAGTTTGGAGCAAGCGCTTCAAATGAAGTGGGAATGCGAGGACACAAAAGTCGCGTGTAGTATGTTGAGGAGCTTCCGATGCGCTTGTGGCAGTCCTATGCGGTGCTCATGTCGTACCGCCTTCCATGTCTATTAGTTTGGTTCTCCGCTCAAGCAAGATTACCCGACGTTACACAGGTTCTCTTGCGCAACGAAGTTCGACGAGGAAGGCTGCGTGACTCGTCTTAATAGATCCGGCAACTTCCACAGTTTGAAGCAGACGCTCCTGAGGAGATCGCTCTCTAGGTGTCGGTGTCTCTGATGGAACTGACTTTTTATGGGTCCCAGACAGGAAGCTTTTATACGTCTTGTAAGCAATGGGCTTGGAATTTGCAGTGGTTTGCTAGTGACCGCTGCTTCCACTGGAGGTCTGGACGCCATGCATCCACCCGGACAAGAGGCCAGAAGCTGCGGTAGGTTCAGGATTCAGATGGTGATATTTAGTTGCGGTGTCTTCGAGAATTCAGGTTTGATGAGCAGAGACAGGATGACTTTCGCGAACTTGCATTTGTGTTTGTGCTGGGCTCGGACGGTGAGCAGTTTCAAAACCATGGTTTGGAATGCTGCAAGACTTCGTTCCTTGCAGCCTCTGCCGGTGAAGCTTGCGTTTTGAGATTTCATTTGAGGCTCTGAGCGAAGATTGGATAGGAGCCGTCTTTGCACGGCTGCTGCCTCAGTCGCGAACATGATGTGAGCGAGAACCTTCCACGTGGTCGCCGTGACTTCTTGTTGTATCTAACTCACATGTTACATGCGCGCAGCGAAGCCCGCGTTTGTTTCAGCATCGCTGCTGGCTCCGTCGAGAACTGAACGAGAGTGAATAACCTTTCACTGCTGGCTCAGTCGAGAACAGCAGGAGAGTGAATAACCTTCCATGCGTTGGTTGTTCTAACTTAGACTTGGGCGTTAGCTCTACCATCATTTTGATGCCTCTGCTATGGTCCGAACGCGGGGGCCCTGTGCCTGGCAAAGCCAGGCAGCAAATGTTGTAGAGCACTAGCGCATTCCACTCCCTCGACTGGCCGTTGTTGCCTGCCCCGGGCTTGGTAGCGCCGGAGAGTATCGTGCTGCTCCTCGAAGTCGTCCTCGTCGTCTGCTGGGACACACCGGCTAGCAATGGCTGTAACTCCAGGGACCAAGCGTCTAGGAGGGGTCTCCACAGCATCCAACAGGGCAGCCACCCGCTCGCTCCATGTAGCGCTAGGGGCAACAGGGAGGGAGGCGGCGCAGCTCTGACTGCGCAGCTCCGCGGTCAGCGCAGGATCCTCCTTTGCAGGCACCCCTGTCTCCGGATCCGAGCGAATCATGCCCTTCGGGTTGTAAAGGGCACGCGGCAGGCCTGTAGTTGCAACCGGTGGCAACATAACAGTTGCGGATCGAGAGTGTCTCAACAGTGAAGACACGAAGTGCTGCAATCTCCCCAACAGAATCGTGTTAATCGCTTGGTGACTTTGGCCTCCCAGCGAGGATCTCAGGCATGTTACCTGTCATGCCTCCCCCCTTTGCAGGTTTTGGGATCCCCCCCCCTTTGGCTTTGCCACGGACAACCACTAAGCTTAAGGAGCTTAGGAACCCTCCCAAACCTTAACTAAGCTCCGCGCAGCGGCCTAAATTTTTAGAAGGGCAAAGCCAAAGAGAGAGACGGGTACCCAACCCCTACAAAGTGCCAGGCGCAGCCTAGGGCGTCACCCTTTCCAAGCAGAAAGTGGCCCCTAGCAGCTACAACCCAAGATCCTAAACCCTAAGTGTAGGCCAGAGGCCACCCACTACGGCCACTAACTGCCCCCCCAAGGTCCCAGCAGAAGCCTTCACACCGCCCTGCTCTGGCTTTGTGGTGCTTATAGCTTCACCCTTTCGGGCTGCTGTCCCAAGGGAGCGCAGCTCGAGTCTTGGTGTAGACCCTTACTGCGGCCGGACTGTACATTAAGCAGAGGTATGCCTGCCAGCACCTCCACCGCTGGGTGACCCAGTCTCTAGCGATCCCACCCTAACGGAGAAGCTACAGGGACGCAGGAGTAGACCTGCAGAAGGGAATGAAACCCAACAGTCCCTGCAGCGACTCCGAAAGGGGCCCAGATTGCTCCAGGCACTGCAGCTATACTGGCCTTCGCCGCAGAGGAACCGACGGTCTGATCCGCAGTGAGCTTGGCTACCCACTACGAACTTTGACCGTTAGCCGGCAGCAATTGAGGCTTCAGGCAGGCCGCAGGACCAGATGTCCCTTGGGAGCCCTCAACCACGCATGCTTGGCCGACCCCCCCTCGCCGCAGGCAGACAGATCGTAAGAGCCGCTCACCCTAGCGCTCACTGTCCGCCACGCTCTTCACTTTCAACTTGGTCTGCTGGGCGCTTGAGAATGCTGTGCCTTTCACGCTTGAGAATCCCGCCAACAGCCACTTCTGGGCGGTTTTTGCTTCGCTGGCTCGTGCCCGCCCTAAAGCCTCCTGGCATCGCTTCAGCCACAGAACCTTTCAGGTGGAGTTTGATCACTGCATGTATGGCGGTGCTCGGCCGAAAACTACGCGGTTGCTTACCAATTGCAAGCAGATGGCCGACTTGTGTGCCCGGTGCGATCGCTCTCATGATCACGCCCCTTGGGGGGCTCAGCGCGGGCCCCATGGTTGGGTCTTCGCCACTCACCTCGAAGCTGCCTATCCCGTCCAACTCGCTGAAGCCCTGGCTGCTCGCTTCGGCGCCCAAGCTCAGGCCTCCGGCCTCTCTCTCTGCCCGCGCCCGCTGGATGTGCAACATGCTGCCTACACAGCCCAGGGACTGCAGCATCGCAGGAGCCAGCCTCTCCTCTCCGAGTTTGCTGCCATCCGTCATGTGCCCAAGTCGGCCATCGACGAATCTTGCATGAGGATTCTCACGGCCCCAATGATTGGGGTGAAGACGGGGGGCCTGCCGAAACCCTCCGACCATGAGTCTTCGTGCAATGTCGAGAACTCAGGGCCCCCGAAGGGCAACCTGGCTCCCCCGCTTGCCTCTTCGGGTTTAGTCCCAAACCCCTCGTGTGAGCCCCCGCGGCACGCAGGAACCGAGCCTGGTGCGGGTTCGGGGCTGGTTACCGTTGGGGTTTATCGTAGTCCCGAAGAGTGGGTAAAAGAAGCCCTTAAGCTGCCGCATCCTATGGACTCGAACAACCCTTTGCATGAAGCCACCATGATGGCCATCAAGGAAAACCTTACTTCGGAGGCTAAAGTGCTTAAGCTTAAGCAAAAGATTGCCCTGACTAAGATGGAGATCCGGGCCAAGCAACTTGAATCGCAGGAGAAAGCACTGCATCAGTCAAAGCCACCTTGGATGCAAAAAGTCCTTAAAGGAAAACGCATTCTGTTGCTGCGCGATCTGTTGTCGCAGCACGGCCTTGATGACATGGGGGTCGTGGACCTCGTGAGCGACGGCTCACATCTAGTGGGGTCCGCTCCGAAGCCCGATTGCTTTGAAACGCGCGTTAGGCTGGCAAAGCTCTCTCCCGAGGCCTTGAGAGCTGCAGCCCCGGACTTGAGGAAAGCCATCCTTGCAAATCCCAGGAAAGTCTCTGAGGAAGAGGCGGCTGAGCTGCGGAAGGTCACCGATGAAGAGACGGCTGAAGGTTTCCTCACGGGACCGTTCGAGTCTGAGGATGCAGTGTCCAACCACCTCGGGACCCAAGATTGGGTGGCTGTGAGGAGATTCCTTATTCAGCAATCCGACAAGAAGCGTCCCATTGATGACGGCCACGAGGCCCACCTCAACGATGCTTATGGGTCGGCCATCCGCTTGAGGCTCCAGGATAGTGCGTACTTCACGGCCATGGCTCTGGCTGTTGCAAAGATGCAAAAGGACTTGGGCGTGCGTGTCCCATGGAAGGTCAAATGCCTAGACTTGTCGAAGGCTTACAAACAATTTTGTGTAAGCGAGCGGGATAGGTGCCTTTCGGTTATAGTCATTTTCGACGAAAAAGGAAAGCCAACATGGTATGTGGCGAACGCCTTAATGTTTGGTGCCGCTGCCAGCGTTTTTAGCTTTAACCGTATAAGTCGTGCCATACACTTCCTGTTCACCAAAGTCTTGAACGTGGTGTGCTCGTACTTCTACGATGACTACCCGATGTTGGCCCGCTCTGACATGGCAGAGGCAACTGATGAGGCGTGCGGCCGCATGCTGAATCTGCTCGGCATCCGATATGCCGAGACGGGGACTGGTTCCAAAGGTTTGCCCTTCGATGCATCTTGCAGCGTTCTGGGACTCAAAATGTCCGTGGAACATCTCCACTTGGGGAAGCTCTCGATTTCCAACAAACCGGGAAGAATAGAGCGGCTCGTGGAGTTGTTTGGCAAGGTCAAAGCCGAGGGGACGATGACAAAGCACTTTGGCCAGGTGTTGCTTGGACTTTTGCGTTTTGCTGCAGGCTCCTGTGTGGGCATGTCGCTCAATCACGTTTGCGCTGACTTGAATAGGATAGTCCATGCTGAAGCTTTTCCCTCCCCCGAGGAGTTCGCGAAGCTTTGTGATCGGGCTTTGGATTTTCTTGGCAGTGCCCGTCCAAGGGAGGTGAAGGTGTCTGATCGAAAGGAGGTGGTTCACATCTTCACGGATGGATCTCTCGAAGGCGACTTCGCTGGCATAGGGGCCGTGATGATTGATTCGGCCGACGGCTTCTCGCGTGTGTTGCAAGGCGAGCTCCCGCCTGAGCTCAGGAACGCATGGCGAAACGAGGCCAGCGAACACTTGATCTGCCAGGTCGAGTTATATGCGATTTTCTGTGCAAAACTTGTTTTCAGGGAACGTGTGGAGGGCAGGCGAGTTGTCTATTGGATAGACAATGAGCCTGCACGTTTGGCCCTTGTGAAGGGCGTGAGCAGATCTTGCATTATGGATCGCATGCTTCGCGAGCTGTGTCGACTTGAAGACAACATGGTCTCCTACGCGTGGTACACTCGAGTACCGTCGAAGTCGAACATCGCCGACGGACCTTCAAGGGGTAAAGGCGATACTGTGGCCAGAGCGTTGGGCCTGGCCAATTCGGAGTCGTTCCCTGGATGCATTCCATGGCAGCACTTGTTATGGGGGCAATCGGGTGCTGACACATAGCGGAATCTCTTACCGCAAGCCGCTTTGTGGAAACTCTACCACACGTGTTGTGCACCGAAGTTGTCGGTGCGAAAACCCTTTTCGAACAGCCCCTTTCGAGTGCTCAGATGAAAAGAAGATCGCGTCAGCAGTTGTGAGAATATATTCGGGAGCATTTTTGATAACCGGCTCCAATACTTATTATACTCTCGGGCATTTTATATATTGAGCCCGGATACTGTTTCACGAATCTTTATGCAATATACGGTTCTGGAGTTTTGTGGAAACTACTATATAACAGTTGTATATATATAGCCTTTCGCAGGGCTATAGCAGCTCGCGGGGCTTGAGAGTTGAAGAGAGCCATGTCGGAGAACATGAAGCAGCTCATCAACGATGTGAAGCAGATCCATACCTTTCTGCAGACCATGGAGAATGTGCAAGGTGTGGACAGCCGTGTCATGGAGGAGAACCAGTTCCAAAGCTTTGCTACGAGGCTTAACACCGTGCAGTCGTGCACACACGAAGATGGACAGGAGCTCATCAATGTGATCTCTCAAGGCCCTTGGACGGATCCCCACAAGCGGCACTTCTACACGTGCATTGGGTTGGTTGTCCCAAACAACCCGACATCCTCAACCAGGAGAAACTGCCAGGACATCACGTCCTTCTCGAAGTACCTGTCCGGCAAGGACATACAGACACTGGGCAGCGATGCCACGATGATCACCAAGCTCGAGGCTCTGGCCCATCGCTGTGCTCGTGTGGGCATCTCTAACCCAAGCGAGGTCAGTGTGCGACAGATCATGGCATCTGGTCTGGTTTTTGGCATCCAAGCTGCCACCGACAAAGACAAGTTCGCTGTCGTGCAGGAAATCAAGCGGCTCATCAAGATCCAGGTCAAGCGGCGACCAAAAGCAGCAATGTATCTGGTGAAGTATCCCACCGACCCCCGGAACTTGCCGGAGGTGCTCTTTGCGGCTGGATACCATGAGGAAGACCCACCAAATATAACTGCGCCTGATGACACCGAGATCGCCAATGCAGCTCGCACGATCTCATTGAGAAGGTCGTCCAGGAGCATCCGAGGCAGTGGCTTGTTCGGCGATGCGGGCAACACCCTTGCTACGGCCGCTGCTCCAGCTGGGAACATGAACCCATGGGGAAACATGATGAGTGGTCAGTGTGGGCCCATGCAACTTATGGGAAGCATGTTGCAGATGATGCAGAACATGACTGCGAAGAACAATCCCGAGCTCGACATCACCTACTTGAACCCGGCGGCTCGAGCCGGGAACCGGCTTGGATCTCCTGCTGCTTCGGCAATGCCGAATCCTGCTCAGGCGGCACTCCCGCCCCCTGGTGGAAAGGAGGCGGCAACACAGCCGAATGCAAACGAGTTGGCAATCACCCCGAACATCATTGAGGACCCCATGCCTGATGCCGAAGAGGTCGCCAATCAGGTAAAGGACAACAAGCGGTAGAGGGCTGAGGAGAAGAACGAGGAGAAAGCCAAGGCCAAAGCCAAGGCCAAAGCATCGGCCAAGGCAAAGGCCGTGCCCAAAGCCAAGGCAAAGGCCGTGGCAAAGGCCAAAACAAAGGCCGTGGCAAAAGCCAAGGCAAAGGCCGTGGCATGGAATGGTCGCCGACCCCCGGTTCCGCCTGAGGGAGCCCCCACGACGAAGTATAACGGCGGGAAGATTCATCGATCCGACACATTCTCGTTGTGGCGAGTCTTCATTCATGAGCAGGACAGGGTTGACAAGAAGATCAAGTTCGGCACGGACATGAAGGCCTCGTGGAAGAGGGCTTTGGATATGATCGACAGCGGCAAGTGAGCGATACTTTTGCAAATGTCGAGACACTTCTTAAGGTCTTGAGCTTTAGGGAGATCTATGGTTATATTATGTCCAAGGCTCATATATATATATATATATACATCTGTAGATAAGATTTATTCTCTATTGTGGACCGTGGCATGTACAATCATTATGATTGCGAACAACTTTCCCATAAAAAGTAGAATATATCGAATGCCAAACATTCGAATATGTCATATTATTAATCAAATATTCAAATCAAGCAGAGGCAAAACAGGTCTTCGTTTTCCGCACTGGGGGATGCCGCGATCCCTGGAGTCACCCCCTTCTTGAAAGGAGAGTGGCCCAGGTCGGACGCGACCTGTACCTGCAAAGCCTCTGCACCTCAGTGAATGAAAGCCGAGACGGGCCATCGGCTATGTTCGATGAAGTGGGTACGCGGCCGTACCACACGTTCACACGCGCTTGGGATTCAAGATGAAGGATGCCTCGCACCCAATCGTCAGCGACACTCGAGGTATCTGCAAAGCAACGGATGCAAGAGTAGCGCGCTCCCTCGTTATCAAGATAACACACAAGTTGTGCTCCCTGGATAAGACCCTTCCACAGTTCATATGCAATCAAGATTGGAGCAATCTCAAGCTCGAAGATTGGATTCGTCGAAAAGGACAGGAGTTGTTTCATGAGCTCGTCTGGGACCGACTCACCGAAGTAGCCAGCACAGCTGCCATTCGGGGCAAAGAGGACACCTCCGATGCCACCCCAAGATTTCTCAGCCTCACAAGCTCCGTCCGTGAAGAGAATCCAAGTTGCCCGGAGGCACGGCTGAACCCTCAATGGCTCAGCTGACTTAGTTCGCTCGATCAAGAATTGCAATGCAGACCTGTGTAGAGCATTCAAGGGAACGGCCGAGTTCTTGTGTTTGCAAGCTCTCGACAAAGTCCTGACAGCTTGGTTGCTCACCCTTCCGAAGCTGTAGCCTTCGAAGAAAACCATGCGACCCTTCAGCCTCTCGAAAGGCCTAGGCTCCATCTCACCCCGTTCAAGAACTTCGTTGAGTGCAGTGCATAGCTCGTCGCGCCGTTTGTCGGTGTGGCCGACAAGAATCACACGATCCTCTGTATTTGAAAGGTCCACTTGCAAACCGAGAGTTGCAAAGGAGGTTGCATGGTCAATTGCTTTCTTACCTGACCTGTCGAAGCGAACCCCTAACAGATCAAACAAGCACTCGATGACCCAAGCAGTATTGTCCTTCAAGATGTTCCTGCAGACATTCGTAAAATCGTCAAAATACGCAGTCCACACTATCTTTGCAAGAACAACTCCTATCTTCCAGATGGCGAACGATACACGCAGGAAAGCACTCACGGACGCTACAGATCCAAAAGGCAGTGCGTTCAGACCAAGGAGAAGTGGCTCTTCCTCCCCTGGTTTATTGACTGCCAGTCTCACCAAGGCGCGATCAACTGGGTGCACACCGTACTGCTTGTACGCGGACTTAAGATCATAATTTCTCCCAACCCAGCCTGACAAGCCTGAGGCAGGAGTCCTCTCAAGCGCACAAGACAGAATCGCAGCAAGCTTGTCAATAGTGTGTAGCTCGAACCTTTCGCAAAGCCCAACCGTCAAGTTGAGGCACGAGATTGTACAGTCATCAATCAAGCGAACCTTACCGTTTTGGACAATACCAAAGCGCATGACAATGCTACAAAGAGAGATCTCGGTCGAAACCCAAACCCAACCTAAGTCTATCTCCTTCTGCGTTTCTTGCCACACTGATGCCTCAAGCTCTGAGTCCTGGCGCCGTGCAAGCTTAGACACCACGGTCTTGTTCAATCCAGGGGCAAGCAATTTGAGGGTGTCCACTGACATCCTTGGTGCTCTGACCTTAGGTCCGGAGTTGCCGGTGGCCGGCATCCAGCCGGATATACGAAAGCCAGATGCAACGTCCCTGAAAAGGTGCTCATCGCTACATCCGGCCGCCTGCATCATTTCCTTAAACAGGAGAAGACGTTTGCCGTTTGCCTTGCAAAACCTGTGCAAGGTAGCCAGGCATGGCGGAATGAAGCTTATCCTCCTCAGGTTGGAGCTCCTTAGCTCTCGCACTCCACTTCTTGACAAAGTCGATTCGGGCACGGGCTAAGTCACCAGGATTCCCAACAAAGTTCGCATGAATCGCTTCATCTATTTCGGGTTCAAGATGGAACTCGAAGCTCCTAGGGTGCCCCGTGATCAAGGCCCTTCGAATGAACTCGGACGGTTCACACGGAATGCCAATCGTCACAAGCTCCACCTGAGTGCCGTTTGCTGCGACCTGATCAGTCCTCGGATCTGGGACTTCAAGGAAAATCGGGTGCTCGCACAGTTCAAGTGAATGCAAGACTTCCCCCCATCCGAAAACAAAGCGACGAACTACTCGAGAACCCTTAGGCTGCTTGGCCAAAAAGTCCAGCAAGAGCTGCGGCTTACTCGGAGGGCAAAAACACGACAGAAAATGCGAAAATTCCGCGACTAAAGGCCCGAAGGAGGCCCCACGCGGCTGAAGACCCAAAGCCACGCGAGTGCTCTTGCTATGGAAAGGCACGGATTGCTGCGGCGACGGACCTGCCAAGGAGACCTGGATGTGATTTGCCAAAGCTGAAAGCAGCCTCAGACAAAAGACAGAAGGATACTCAGATTCGTCAGCAGTCGTGAATTTGACTTTACGTCCGAACAAACGTGGCTGCCATGGCTTATGGGGGTGCGAGTTGTCGCAACGAGCCTCAAGCGAACTGAAGACATCCTTGGACGACCACAAGCGGATCAAGCGAGGGCGTGCACCCCCATGACAACACAAGTGAAAACGGGTGAAGAACCCCGGACACACCGAAGTGATGGACTGAAAGAAAGAAGTAGCCCAGTACAGGGAAGAGTCAGGATTCTCAACAACAGTCAAAACATCCTGCCCGACGGAAGCCAAGACCAACCGAGCTGTCTCAAAGTAGAGCTGATTGGCATCCTCGACTCGTTTGCGATCCTGAGGAGAAAGCCCAGGTAGCATGTCAGGATGCGTGGAGCTCCGTAGCTCAACAGGCAGTTGATAGCCTTGCTCCTCCCACTTCTTGATATGTTTGCCTCGAGAGACACTGGCCGTGCCCGAGGGCAGAGACAAGAAGACCATGGCTAGTTTGCCTTCCTCTGCAGAAATTATTTCAAGAAGATAGTCAATGTTGGCTGGATCACACAGGTCAAGGCGTAAGACTTGCTTACCAGGCGACCGGAACTGATTGTTATCGACCGATAAAGTTCGAAATCCAAGTGAATCAGCCGTTCGTGAAAGAACCGCGTGACCTGCACACAGCTCCAAGATCAAGAAGTCCTCAGCGGTAGAACGATCATGTGCCGAGGCCGCTGGTTCAGCGCGAATGTCCTTCAAAGGGCCACTGCTCGGGCCTGCAAAGTGTCGGAAAACAAATCCAAGCTCAGACAAAGAAGACCTGTCGCCACGGCTGAGCCTTTCAGCAAAAGACGGCATGTATGCAACCAAAACTACCCTGCGACCAACCCAAGGCAGAACTGCGTGATGCACTGATGGGTCAATGCGAAGTGGCCCTGCATTAACATCTAGCAACTTCCCAAAGTAGGACATGCTACCGTGTTTAATCTCATGCTGCCCTGCCTCATCCCTGATCCAGATCTGGCCTTGCTCAAAGAAAGTGAGAGGGATGACAAGATTCCTCGATCCCTTTTCGTTGGCTTTGTCAAGATGAATCTCCGAGCGAACATCGGAAAGAATCTGAAAGGCCCCGAACACATGGGTGGGGTCGACGAATCGAATCACCGAGGTAAAGAATCGGCAGGTGGCCGACGCCGACGTGCATGCGTTGAAGACGCTGGCCTTGCCACCTCGGACATAGAACCCAAAACTTATGCGCGTCCCTGCAACGGAGCTGTCCTGCACACTTCGCAGAGATCGGTCCTTAGGGCAAGCATCGAACAGGCGAATGCAGTTGCTGGCAGTAAAGGCGTTTGCATGGAGCATGGTGCGAGCCATCTGTTCGTGGGTATCGGCAGATACTGGATCTGCGACCTCAGAAGGAGGAAGACTGGCAGCACTCACAACCGGCAAACCCGAAGGACCTACACCCGAAGGGGGTTGGGGTTCCCGTGGATCGGCATCCACCGGGACAGAATTAGGGTCAACCACACTATCAGCACCTAAACCGAAAGTAGACACGGCCACTCCAGTGCCACGGCCTACCTGATTGTCAGCTCGCGATGCCATACAAGCATCCAAGCTCTCAGCATCGACATTTGTCTTCAAGAATTGGCTGAAGTTGCGCTTCATAGCCAACCTCGAACGAAGGAATTCTTTGTCGGCACAATTCCCGACCTGAACATGCATGCTCGAAGGGCCAGCCACCCCCGAGCCAGAAGTCCGCTCCACGGACCCGGAACATGCATCAGCATCTTTGCCAACCCCATCTACGGATGTTCCATCGGAAGGGGCGGAAGCTTGCTCAAGGTGAAAACTTTCTGCCACTTCCCCTCCTAGTCACTCGGTTTTCAAGGTCCTGCAATTGACAACCGAATGACCCGGCTTGTGGCACGCTGCGCACACGTGGAGGCCTTTGTCACACTTCTGAAAGCCTGACTTCGGATCCTTCTCAGTCTTGTTAGAGCAGCCATCGGGAAGATTGAAACCCCAGCACGCGTTGCCAAACTTGGTCCTGGTATCATATGCTGCCAAGGCGGCCGGCTTGTTCTTCGGGCCTCCTCGCGCTTTCGCCTTAGCCTTAGCCTTCTCAGTCGCAACGCGTGGCACCTTGGGAGGCACAGACGGTTTGTCATCCTCCGTCACCTTTGTTGGCGCAACCCTCACGACCTGCGACTTCTGCATAGGAAGCAAGAACTGAGTGATGCGCTGATCGAAGGCTAAACGGGACATGACTGCATCAAGAGGTGGAACACCTGACGGCCCCGGCTTGAAGGATTGAAGGCCCTCCTGTGACATGAGCAGGAACATCTCCTTGTCTGCCCTGACACACTGCGTCAAAGTAACTGGTGCGAAATTCGGAGGAGGGACCTGTGACAAGCAGTCCAGGAGCCTCTGGATCCACTTCTGATGAACATTGTAAGAAAGCATTCTGCACTGATCATAAGCAAGACCCCTTCGCATCCAAGCCCACTGACAACGCAAAGAATCCGTAGTATCGCACTCCACAGAGACACTCGGACCTCCAACCTTGACAGTGTTGTTCTCGACTTGGAGGGTGCTCGGCTTTTCCTTGAAACCTGCGATCACCTCTTGCTCACGCTTTGGGCATTTAGAAGGTGCAAGCCAGTAAATCACTGCATTCTCCATCTGATGATTGCAAGCATCAATCAACTGATAAGACGGGTCGAGCTCTCCGTCCATGTCTATGCCTCCCAGCCTAGACTGCTGAGATTCCTTACGTGCCCGCTTCTCTGGCAGCGGAAGCTTTCTCATCGGTGCACCATCTGATGAATCATGCGACACCATGTCCCTATAAGTCTGAATAACCAAAGTAGACGCCTCAAAGTGAAGCTGCCTGATGCTGGACAACTCACCTACAGTCGGCTCGCCAGTCGCATACACAAGTTTCGCAAGCTCTCTAAAGGCATCCTCGGTCGGTGGGCTTTGAGGGGTTCCAAGAGCGAAGGCAAGCGAGCGGAAAGATTTGACGCCTTGAGTGGACAGCCCCGCAGTGAGTGAGCCATCACCACGAACCTCAAGGCACCTCTTTTCGAAGGCTGCTTCACTCTCGATGATAGTGGACATGGAGCAGCCCTGATCCCCAATGATGCACGGCCACTGCACGCCCTACCCAAGCCACCACCTCAAACACTCGAGCCCCAACAAGTTCACGACGATCAGACATGTGACTGTTTCGCACTAACATGTACTGCATGCTCAGACTCTCTCAGACATGCAAAACAACATGACAGCAAGCGCGACTCTACAATCTTTCACCTCACTTCCTCGTGTCGTTGTCAGCAAACCTAGCGCACAATCTGCACCGCGAGCAGGCCTGAGAAGGCCTATCATTGAGCCTTGCATGCAAGGCCCCAATGCTCCTGCCACACACAAACACCTTGGAATAATGATCATGGGCCAAGTGCAAAACTTTGGACTTCGTGTGCTCATAGTAACACATGCCGTCAGGAGGATCAGGAACGACCCAGCGCATGAAAGACCTGGGAAGTTCGGCACCGTCCTGACTCTCTGAATCCGAACTACTGCTGGAGCCTGTGGTTACCGCCTCTGACGGTGGTACCTCAGCGGTGTCGGCGAATGTCCGCCGCGGAGACTCCCTAAGCAGAGTCGGGACCTCAGGGGCCGATCCGTCGTCGTCGTCCTCGTCCTTGACTTCTATCAAGACAGGAGTGCTTCCTTTAACAAATCTCCCACTTCTAGTGCAATCAGGCTTGAAGCGACCACTCCGAATAGCTCGCAACACCTTGTTCAGCAACAAGAGTGTGGGAGCAGCGGCATCTCTCCCGTATGTAAGTGGCATCTTAAAATCACCAGTGTGATACCCCAACAAGAGCAACTCATTCGGACTTGCCCCGAACTTGGTCGCAAAGCTAATGCAAGTGCACTTGCAAGAATGGCTCGACACGCGCCTGTCCGGAATCGGGTCCGCGCTCCCGAAAAGCAACAGCCTAGCCCAAGACCCCGCCTCGTCGGACTCAAGACTCCGAACAGTGGGGAATCCTTGGTGATCTGGCGCCGGCATCACAGGGAAAAGCGGCGGCTCACCAATTCCCAGCAATCTTCTTGTTTCCATAAATTGTTCTATCCACAAGTCTTCGGTAACACCCACACCAGGCGCCACCATGGGCAACAGCTGCCCCCGCATGAGTTTGGCACCCATTGTCTTGTGGACTCCCACACCGGCCTCTATGAAAGCCGCCTCGCCATTCTCTCCACGATCCACAGTAATGGACTCTGCGTGGGACAAATCCTCCCAGCGAGCCCTGCCGTAAGTTGCGAAAAGGAGGGCGCCGGCCATCAGCCTGTTCCACAGCTCAGAATCATTAGCGAGAATATAGTGAAGCTTGGTCAGCTCGGCCACTGTAAAGGGAGAGGCCTGGACCCGAGCCTTGAAATCTCGCTGCTTCGCGCTGCCGTGGCAGCGCTTGCTCTCACCCAGCTCAGCAAGTTCCGGAATCCCAACCACAAATCTCGTGAACGTGATGGCTTCAAGAACTGCCTTCCGAGCAGAAGCAGGCCTGCCTGCCTCCCGCATACCACACAGGTACTGGTAAAAGATCTCCTCCGATCCAGGAAAACCCAACCCTCGGTCACTCAAGAAGTTGTTGTAACCCAGCAGAGACCTGTACCGCTTGCGTAAAGTAGCGGGCGCCTTGCCACCAAGTAAATCTTCAACCATGAAATATCTAGGCAAATGCCCCAGGTCCAAAAGTTGCCGAATCACGGCCAGCTTGGCGGGCCAAGACTCAATGAGCCCCTGCCAGAGGTAAAGAGCCTCTGACCGCTCCTTGTCCCTCTTGGCCTTCCAGCTTACCGCTTCACGGTCTTTAACTGCATTCAGATAAGTAAAACTTCCGCCAGATTTATCTGCCGAACCAGAAGTCTTGGCAGCCTTCAAGCGCGAAGAATCACTTTCGAAAAGCACGGCCTCCGGTCTCTTATACACAGAACCATGCATTCCATGAAACAAATCCTTTGGCGATCCAAAAATGTCCGCCCAAATCCCCTTCTCCCAGCACTGCTCCAGACCTGCAGTGGGTAAAGACTGATGTGCAAAAGCCACGGCAGCTGGAACATTGAATACACGATCATCAGAAGAAGACCCCGGTATGCCAGAGCCCTGCGAGGGCACATGCCTCGGAGTCTCCTCTGCTGTCAGAGAACCAGGAGGGAGATCGCTACCCTTGTCAGACAGATTCGCCTTTGAGTACCATTGTACCTCCTCGAAGTCACTGGGGTCAAAACTCGCACTCAGAGCAGGAGACCTGTCTTGCAGGAAATCACGACTGTAATTCTCAACAGAGTCGCCGCAAGCCAGATTGTCAAGGTGAGCTTGAAACTCTTCGACGTAGCTCTCACCAACTGGCCTGGATTCTCCCCTTTCATCACTTGACAGTTGGTCACTCATCGCTTACTGCTGAGCGCAAAATGAACCAGCACGAATAGACCAACATGTTTTAATGATACGCAGATGATCATCTCGGCAGAGAAAAGCCCAAACCAAGCGCACAGCATCAAGCTCGGCACTTCGGAACAAGCCGGACAGAACCTGGCCGGCCATAGCTGGACCCACCTCTACACGATTCAAAAACTACAAGCAATCTGTTATTGCTTTCCCACCCACCCTCCGCTTCGAGGCGAGCGAGGGATATAAAAGATCACAACTGTCCAATAGCAAACTATTGCAACAAGTGATGTTGAAAAAGGTTTGGGCAATGTCCCAAAATCAAAACGTGATGGGAAAGACATGTCACTAATTTTCCAAAGGAAAATTTCCACAAAAAGAATAAAGTGATCATCCCTCCGGGAGGATGTACGTATCGAGGGAAGGTGTTTGCTTATACATATTTGTTTCTCTATAGTATATATACTTAAGCATTTATGTCTCTTTGTTGTGTAGATGCATATATATGTATATATACATAGAGCCAGGCACATAAAGCCTATTGGACCTGTGTGTGTATATATATATATATGCACTATATAGCATTTATAGGGCTATATGGTTCATAGATGTATATGGCTATAGTTCTCAATAGCTCTTGACCTCCGACCGGGAACAGACTCCACAGTGGCAGTCGTTCTATCCATGGGCGCCCGACGAAAGGAGTTGTACATGACAGCTGCTTTTTTTCAGGCACTCTTTCGAGCGACCCGATGTTCCATGCATCCGAGGCGACAAGTTCGAGAAACATCGCATGTGTGTAGCCCTGCATGCAGAGTTAGAAGTGTTTTGCAGGCTGAGTGTGTGAGTTTGCTGCATCACTGCACGGCGAGCCCGTGGCCCTGCCTTGTGCAATGCATGCATGGCGATGGCTTTGGCTGTGAGTATGTATATCATGCATGAAACATGACAACGCCACATTGCCGGTTATATATATAAGCCCATGCAGTGGATCGCACACACAGCATGACCAACATATAGATTGATATATATATATATATATATATAGGTACCCACTGCAGGGCAGTTTGCTCGCAGGGTGCCTGCATGCAATGTCGTTGGAAAAGCTTGGTCGCAAATCGTACATTAGCCAGAGAGGCTTGGCTGATGTGCTCACCGACCTGAAGGAATCCAAGCAGCCTTTGACGGCCACCTCGCGACAGTCCATCAAGCGAGCCCGAGACAAGGTGATCACACAGACCACTCCATATGGACCCGTCTGGGAGACTTTGCGCTTGCCCCGTGTTCCTGATGGCAAAGAGTCTAACAATGGCATCGATGCGCCGGTGCTTTGTTTGCCTGCATTCCTTCATCATGCATGTGCAAAACTCACTGGCTTCTCCCAGTTCTTTCTGCGACGGTTGCAAGAGTGCCCGTACCGGTCGCCCAACGAAGCTTGGCGGGCCGCAATCTATAATGATGAAGTTGCACCCGGCAATCAGCTGAAGGGAAACAACAGCAGGAAAATTCAGGTGTGGTATATGGCATGGCTTGAATACGGCCAAGACCATCTTTTCTACGAAGAGCTTTGGATGCCTTTGCTCATGATCCGGTGCAATCTGGTGAAACTTGTAGAAGGAGGGCTGTCAGCAGTGACAGCCAGGCTTGTGCAACATTCATTCCGTGGTGTGCACAATTTGGAGAGCGGCATCCTTCTTTCTTTTCCCGGACACGAGGCTTGGAGTGCATTTCATTATATCTATTCGATACTGTGATATTGTATTTTGCTTTGCAAGAGTTTCGATATTCAATGGTTCCTATATAATATCCGAGGACAGCCGAATGTTCTTCGGCAAGCCAACTGTTCTGCTAGCAGACGAAAGCGCCCTCAAGCACATGCTAGACACGAAAGGTGCATCGGGCACAGTCCCATGCACTTTTTGTGCCAATGTTGTCAGCAAGCGGGCAGAAGGGGACTCCGACGATTTGCTGACGATCTGCAGCACAGACGTGGCCCGCTTCAGAATGCGGAGTGACGAGGCTTTGTTCAAGGCTGCAGAACACCTCGTGGACCAAAGCACGAAGCTATCGAATGCGAAGCTGGCCGAACTTGAACAAGCCATGGGCTTGAACACCAATCAGTTTGGCCTTCTCGCAACCCGATGCCTGGGAGCATCCAGTTGTATGTTCGACTGGATGCACGTCTATTTAGTGCATGGAGTAGCTCATGCAGAAATAAATTGCATCCTGGAGCGAATGGTGGCTGTTAAGATTCCGAGCACACAGCTGCATGACTTCTGTGATGGCCTGCAATTTCCCAAAGCTGATGCCTGGAAGAAAAAGGAGGTCATGAGCATGTTCACTTCCAAGAAGATCAGTCCAGGCGACTTCAAGGCTGCAGCCAGCACGTGCTTGTGTTTCTATCCCTTGCTGCGATTGTTCTTCATGTCCACACCAGAAATCGTGGCAAGGATGAGAGAGGAGGCCAGAAGTTACTCGCATCTGTGTGCTGTGCTGGACTATCTCGCCCAAGCAAACAGGGGCGAGACACGGTTGCAGGCAGGGAAGCTGCAAACCTTGATCCAAACACACTGCGAGCACTTCGTCAGAACATACGGGGAAGGGCCGATCACCCCCAAGTTTCACATGACCATGCATTTACCCTTCATGCTGAAGAAATTCGACCAGTTGGTGGCATGCTTCACTCACGAGCGGCAGCATAAACATATCAAAAGAATCGGCGACCAGCTGCATTCCTCCCAGCTGGCCTTCGAGGCCAGTGTGGCGCACGACATCTGGTTCGACCATTTCCAGGACTATGCCGACTTGAGCTTGGACAATGGCCCTGCACTGGTTGGCAGGGACAAAACTGCAGAGCCAATCCTAAAGCATGAGCTGCTCAAGGTATTCGGCATCGCCGACGCAGATGTGCACCCGAGCCAAAAGTGCTGCATCAAGCCTGGCACAACCATTACACGAGGAGATGTGGTGGTGATGCATGGTGATGTCGTGGGGGAGCTGTGGCTCAACTTCCGACTGCATGGCGAGCACTGGTGCATAGTCAGTATCTACGAAGCGATGGGCCGCAATGTCTTTGCGGTCGCGGAAAATCCGCTTTTTGTGAAGGTTTCCAGTGTTCGCTTCGCATGCATCTTCCGTAGGGAGGGGCATGACAAGGTCATGATCGTGCCGTGAATGGCCATGGAGCTGCAAAAAAAGATTGCTGCTTCGCCTGCATGCATGAACTTTCGTGTGAGTTTGCTGCATGCACTGCACGGCGAGCCCGTGGCCCTTCCTTGTGCAAGTGCTTACATTTTGCAGTTATGATACACTTATAAGTGAGCTAAGTACACTTAGCTATTTATGCTAACTTAGATACATAAGTACACTTATCACGTTTATATATCTTGTTTATTTGCACTTGTCTATTTCATATAACATGTCTATGTACTTAATAACCACCATACCTACATAATAACCCCAGCGGGCCGCCAAGAAGCGCCCTGCTCAAAGCGCTTCGTACCCGCCAATGCCGGAGGGCAGGCCTGGTCGACTGTTTCACTCGGGCGCCCAGCCAGGTGGGCGGCGTAGGTGGGCGCCTCAAATCGGGCAGCGCTTCGCTGCCCTGTATGGACTGAGCTATGGCTCAGACGAATGAGCTTCGTCTGCGAAGCAGAAGCCACGACCGACAGTGCCGCCGACCCGCCCCGGACCCCGCATCATCGGACCCTCGTTTCTCCCTCGGGCCGCGCGGGGCCTGGCCCGAAGGCGTCTCGGAACGCGCACGCGTTTTGCAGCCATTCCCCGCGGTGTGGCGGGTTTCGGGGCCGCCGTGGACGACGCCAGGAGGCGAGCCGGCGAGCATCATGAGCCCTCGGGCGCCCGCAACCGGCGCCGGCGGCGCGACGTGGGCGCGAAGTCATAACTCCCAAGTTTTTGAGTGGGTTGCGGAAGCCGCCAAAGGGCGCGCATCATGAGCATCAGCGGGGTCCGGCGGACGGGGGGTGCGGGCTACATGCAGGACCGACGGGGGCTGAGAGCCTACGATCACCCACAAGTTGCGCACTTCGGGCCTACGTTGCACTTATCTATATACCGCGGGTTTCTGACAACAGCTCGCGCTGCCCGCACCTGGGCGCAGCCCCTAATACCACCGAGCTCGGGGCTCGCACAATCCCCGGAGCAGTTTCACCCTCTGCGGCATTGGATGGGGGCGCAGAGTTTTCCGCACCCACGTGGGCCAACTTGCGCTGGCGCTGCTCACAGGGCGGGGTGTGCATATCACCACTCGTACTGCCACAAAGAGCGCAGCATCGCGTATGCGCGATGCCAGCAACTCGCTGACACCCCGGAACACAGCATGTCGACAGCGTCGATCGCCGCATCCGATTCAGCAAGCGTAGGTAGTGGCGCTCGCACCTGTCAGTGTGTTGTCCCACACTGCAGAGAGAACAGCAGGAGCGATGACACCCTGGGGTGCAGCATACAAAGGGGGCGCGCTCCCTGTGTGCTTGTCGACCTCCCCCCCAGGCCAGCGACCCATGTGAGGAGCCGGCCAAGAGCCCCGCGCCTCGTCACTGCCGTCCGTGGGCACAGAGTCTGTGCTGGTCATCACAATCGGGTGGCAACGTATGTTGCCCCCCCCCCCCCCCGGATGCAAGCAGAATCGGCTCGGGAGCACAAGCATCGCGACACTCACCCTCTGAGGCGACAGCCGAACCAGACGAACAATGGTGACGGCCTGACTATAAGGGGAAAATCAACCCCGAGGCACTCTCAATCTCGCTAAAGGAATTGGGCAATTTTTTTTGGCCCTGCCGCGAGAGGATTGGAGGCCTCGTGATTAACCCGTACAGCTGGTGTGTCAGGGCGTTTTGCCGGACGGAAGAAAACCTAGCCACTTTCCAGCAAGGCTTCCTAGCCCGGCGGCGTTAGGCCGGCCGCGATCGTTTCCTTCTGGCCAAGTGCTCCCCACCTGAGCTTTGGCTTCGACGCCCGCGTCCACGCAGGTGGTCCGAGCGCCT